CCAAAAACTGTTGACGACGACCAATCAACCAAAATTTCTACTCACTTCTTCTTTTCCTACTAAAGTCAGACCAACAGTGTTGTATCCACATTCATTTTATAAAATTTATTCTAAAACTCGAATAAAAACTCGGATTGTTGTTATGTACACCCCTCCTCCCTCAAACGGACAATGGAAATCCTATGAATCAGAAATCCCTATAGAATTAAAGAAAAGCTTATACGAATATTATCAAGACACATACACTGGATTTGGAGGTAACGCTTCCTCAGTACATCCTATCACACATTCAGACTCGCTGTTCGAAACCACTGTTATTCTTGGAAAGAGTTATTTAATTTTTTCACTCTCAACAACTATGACCTGAACATAACTAGATGATGTTAGAGCCAATAATCGGAATAAGTAATATTTTAGAGAAGCAGCCATAACTGACAAATAAAATTAACTATTTATTTATTATTAAATATACATTCTACGTTTTCGTCTCTTCTTAGAGCCACTTTCAAGAGAAATGTACAATTAAAACTTTTAAATGTACAACTACTACAAAATTTTTTGACTGAGAGTAGAGAAAATTCATCATCTCCTTCTTTCATGAATTTTCTTTCTCTTTTTTCTTTCATGAATTGTACATTTCGCTTGAAAATGGCTCTAAGAAGAGATGAAAACGCAGAATGTATTATTTAATAATGAATAAATAGTTATAATCTTATTCGTCGATTACCGCTGCTTCTTTATTACGGCCTGAACAGTTTTGAAATTGCTTCGAGAACGCAAAAACTGGTGATCCATTTTTTTTTGTTACATAGGGGGATCCATATGATACCTACCACGATATACAAAAGTTTTACCGCAGATGACGAGATATACAGCGGCGCCAAAATTATTTGTACGATCAGTATTTATTTGCTCACAATTCTGTGACCAAGGTGTTTTTTAAATTGTGAAACTATCAGGAGTTGGCTCTGCTCTCTATGGTAAAATTTGGCAATCACTAGGACTTTTGCATCTAGGCTTATGGCTATAACAATAGAGAGATCTATGTTTTTTGGCCAAAATTATTTGTACGTTTGATAAAAGAACTTTTTACGCTGTATAAGCATCAACAAAATATGAAAACTGCGTCAATAGATAGAAGAGAGCACGGGCTACATTTTGGTAAAAAAAGTAATTTGAAAAGCGTTTTCCTTAGGGTGAAAATGTGATTTAAAGCCAAAAATTTCATACTCTTCAATGTTATTCTCCATTTCAGGTGTGAGTGACTGAAAAAGAATTCTGATTAAGCCATTTGAAAGAGCGTCCAAAACAGACTAAGGTAAATATAGCGTGGAAGTTAACTGAGAAAATTTGATCCATCTTTTAATATTTTGGATCATGAGGCTATTTTTGAAATGGACTGTAAATATTTTTTGGATATCTTTGCGTCATCATGTAGTCAAGTGGTTACTGTATATGGGTATGGCAAGAAAACTTTACAGACTACACCTTTAAGTTCGGATAGAAAAATAGGTTTTTGAACATCAAAACCGGCTTTCCACCTATAAGAAGCATTTTCCATTCAAAATTAACGTTATTTTCGTGTTCAGCGTCAAAAACTGCGTTTAGTGATGTGTCACTCGAAGTTTAGCAAAATTTCGCCTTTCATCTAAAAATAATGTCTGAAGACGTTGTTTTTGCGATAGACATAAACACCTGACAGCGGAACAACGACATTTTTGACATGTTTCTATCTATTGATGTAGTTTTCATATTTTGTTGGGGCTTATACAGCGTAAAAAGTTCTTTTATCAAACGTACAAATAATTTTGGCCAAAAAAACATAGATCTCTCTATTGTTATAGCCATAAGTCTAGATGCAAAAGTCCTAATGATTGCCAAATTTTACCATAGAGAGCGGAGCCAACTCCTGATAGTTTCACAATTTAAAAAACACCTTGGTCACAGAATTGTGAGCAAATAAATACTGATCGTACAAATAATTTTGGTCTGTACTTTTTCTGATAGATCTTGACATGCTGAATCGATTGATGAAAACCGCTGGTCTCCACCTTTGTTAGAATAAACAAAGTTTGATAATCAGAGACACACCACTAAGAAATTCAATAACTTCAATAGAACATCAACTATCAGAATACGATAACTGTATTAGAGGATTTACAAGAACTTCAGTTGAACACGAACAAACTCTAAGCCCACCACCTGCATACGATGACTTGTTACGACGAAGCTCAAAATAAATTACAATGATGCGACAGTCTTTATCACCACCAACTTACGATGATTTTATTCGAAGAAACGATAAAAGAGAGGAAACTGGTTTATGATTTTTGTTTTTACAGACACATGCGCTGGAAGGCGTCTTCCCCTTCTCGCTGTCCCAAGTGCCAGTTTTAGTCACTTATCTATCCAGCTATACTCTTTACTGAATAATCCTGAGTGTGAGATAGATTTGTTGAGAAGCTCAAGGCTCGCTCTATTAAACTTATGTTAGTTGATTAGAAAGACTTTTTGACGTGCTAACGACTGAAACTGCACATATTTTAATCAATTTTAAAGCTTCGACAAAACTGTCAAATAAAAGCATGAAAACGCTTTCACGCTTTTCCTCTTCACGCTTTTGTTTTCATTATTTTCCTTTGACAAACTGTCAGTTCATGGTTTTATTTCTATAGTTTTGACGTTTACGATATTTTTTCATGGTTTTGATTGTACAGTTCTTAAACTGATAGTTTTATTTTACGGTTTTTCTTCGACGGCTCGAAAGTAGACGGTTTTGTTTCTATGGTTTTAACCTTTACGATTTTACTTCCATAGTTTTTCTTTTATACTTTTGCATTTTACGGTTTTCATAATGTAGTTTTTTACTTCATGTCTACACGATTTTCTTTCGATGGTTATGGATTTTACAGTTTTTTTTCCCTGTGTAACTTTTCACCAGTCAGAAAAGTTTATCAGAGTGAGTACGTGTTTCGACGCCGAGTATGGAATAGAAGTCAGCTTAAGTTCACGAGTTATGTGACTCTCAAACGTTTGAAGGCGCCATAGCGTTACATTCATTAGTGACTATATGTATGTACGTCACACCTGTGTAAGTCTGTGACATGAATAATCACTGCCTATGGATAACTGTCTGCTTCTCTCAAATAATGGTTCCCCTCAGAAATGATAATTCTAGATCAAAAAATCGATTTTGAGATAAGTACATACAAAGATAGCCTGAAGTGTCTACTTTCAAAGTCTGTATAGCTGTCGGTTATAGAAGTGACTTTTTGTGGCTTTCGATCAAGTGTTCTAGAAGCTTCGGAAACAGGACCTTCAGATAGTAGTTTTTCCTGGATATGTATGCAATTAATTTCTTAAAAATTTATCTATATTCTTACGAAATTTATGAACAAAAAGAGGAGTACTGAAGTCTATTGAGTTTTATGATGGAGGTTTTAAATGAAAATATAACTCTTTTGATTAAAAAAACGTCGATGAAATAAGCAAACCATTGACTTAATATCATCATGCTCAAAGAACCGCTGCACTACTCCACTCTGTTTTTTGTTGTACTTAACAACTGACAATTCATACAGTATCGACTAAATTGAATATTGTGGTAATGTTAGTCTACTGAAAAAAGTCCAAAAACCTAGTGAAAACCTATAGTGGTAGTTGAAATGACTTTGGCTATTTCAGTTATAAAACTTATCTACATTACTTCATAACATCGAGATAGTTTATTTGCTCAACCTGATTCTATACTTGATGTTAATCAAAAATATTCTTTTTCTTTCAAAGAGTTTTAACTGAAATAGTTTCTATTAGTGTTCACACTTTTATTGAACTCCAGAATATACTGCACATACAATAGTTAACGTATGTCGATGTTCTGAAGTAGTTTGAATCGATTTTGAGTTTTTGCTTCTCAATGAAAAGAGTCAAAAATCGTTGAGGAGTGTTTTCTTGGTGTATATTATTACACAGTCTTTCTCTACGGGAAAAGAAATACATACATGAGTTTGTTGGCGCAATAGCAGGAAACGAAAGAATATCAGTCACTAAAATATAACACGGTAATAACTGATATTTTCTCCTTTCCTGTTATTGCATCAACAAACTCATGTTGATGTATTTCTTTTCCCGTAGAGAAAAACTGTGTAATAATATTTTTCCCAGAATTTGTCATCGAACTGAGAAATTACCCATACATATCAAATGATCTATTTATTTTCTGCCTTTCTTGTCAACGATAGCACATCTTTAAATACTTGATGTAAACACATACTTTATATCAAACAATACAACAGAAGTATTTCAGGTTAGTGTAAACTTTTTTATGAACAAAGAGGTTATGAGCCAATATGTGTATGAGTCACCCAAAGTTGAAACCTTATTAGATTTTTGACGTCATTTTCATCATATCGCCCTCTCGATCCAAGGACATTCAGTAGGTAGCCAGAATTTTTAATTTAGTTCTGAATTATTGGAATATGGACGTTTCCCCCATCAGCAGCATTTGTTGGCCGCTTCATTTACAACGCCATCATTTTACTTCTACTTTCTCTCGGCTACTATCAAGCGCTATTCATCACCCTCTTCTATTTTAACAAGAAAGTGACGTCACTTGTGCACGTCAACAATAAAAGAACTTTTTTCGTATATTCTACGATCCTGAACGAAGACAGTTTTCGTTTAAATTTAAGCGAACAACGCTATACTACATTATAACAGCAGGATCCTATCTGATACAATCGTATAATAAACTAACATTTCCAGTAGAAACTAGATCACCAGTTAGATACAAACACTGTAGTTGTAAAGACAACAATCTCATGAAAAACGTGTGCGACTATGTCATTCAACCACATGTATCACACTTTGATACAACATTATTCTTCACTAAGAAATTACGCGACCGAAAATGACCAATGTACTGTTTGCTTGTTTTTAGTTCCTGTAAAAATGCATATGTTGACTTTGCTGTTGCTGTTAATTCCTGTCATATCTTCACCATGCTGTGGAAATGACCAGGAGGATAAGGCGCTTGACTATTTCAAACGTTATGGTTATAGTTCGTGTTCTTCATCGAAAGTTAAATGTAGCGAGAGTCTAAATAAAATGATTAAAAGCTTCCAACAATACTTTGATTTGAATGAGACTGGTATTCTTGATGCGGCAACCCTAGCCGTTATGAAATTACCACGGTGCGCTATTGTGGACAAGCCAAGTCAGTCTCGAACACACCAATTGATGTCCACCATATGGCCTCGATTCAATCTTAAATATCGTATCGATTCATATGTCGATGACATTAGTGAGAGTCAACAAATTAATCTTGTTGAGGATGCGTTCAATGAATGGTCCAAACATACGCCACTGAAATTCGCAAGAGTGTGTGATGATTGTACAGCCGATATCGTGTTGGGATTTGAAAATGACGATCATGGCGATGCCTATCCGTTCGATGCGCAATCTGTGGCACATGCATTTCAACCCCACGACAGTCGCATCCACTTAAATTATGACGCCAAATGGACAGATTCGTGAGTAACGAGAAATGAGAGAGATTAAAGTTTCATAATTATTTTTGTTTCATCAGGTTTAACTCAACATCAAACACTGAAGTTAATATGTTTCTTATCGTGCTACACGGAATCGGACATGCACTAGGTCTTGATCATATAAAGAGCAAACAATCAATCATGCATCCAAACTATCAGTTAAAACAAAGATCCGAAGTATTGGCCCCCATCGATCAGACCAACATTCAATATTTGTATGGCAAAAACGATGCTGGTATGACTCTTCCAATACACTCATAATACTTTCTGATTCGTCGCAAAAAACTATTAGTTTTTAAAAGAATTGATATAGTAGCGAAAGTGCTTCTAGTTAGAAGTTTCCGTCCTACCTTGAAAAGATTCTGTAGATGATGATCTGCGTCTGAGATCCGAGATAAACGAAGCTCTCAAAAATTACTTTTCTGACATATGATTCACGTAACAGTATTTACCGTTGTACTTGAATACTATTTTGAAGATACTTATACGTGTGCATGGGAAGGACATTGTCCAGGTGACGACTGCCTAACAGAAGATGATTGTGATGGAAACCTGTAAGTATTTACTTTGCTAATTGCTATCACGCTAAGTGTTATTCTTTGTATTGGATGTTTCAGAGTTTGCAATGATGAAGTATGCACAATCACAAAGACAAAAGTTGGAAAAATTCCGAAAGTAAGATTCAAATACAGTCTCATATATTTTCGGACATGCTCTGTTTAATGACATAAAATTACATAAAAATAACTATTTTTAAATCTCTAAATGATTCATCGGAAAATACTTAGTCAGAAACTCGTCTACAAAACTGATGTTTCAAGAAAACAGAATATTTTATTGAATGGATTAACCAGAGATCTAAAAGCCGTACAGATTTACGAAATATCAAGTAAACATCGTTTATGAACTTACTTTACGGTGTAAAAAAATTATTTGTATAGAAATCCTTATTATTAAAATTTCCTACAGATGAAGAAGCAACATCAAGTCAAATTGAAGATATTCTTTTAGACGTACGATCCTTCCGACAAATATCACAACGTACTGTTGAACAATAATGAGAGAGAGTTATGTTGGCAGCCTTAGGACCTCTTCCATGTCAGAAAGCTATTTTTATCGGTCAGTCATTACATTCAATCTTGATAAAATTATCCCATATTGTATGTCTTATTTTACAGGAGTGACAATAAAATTTGAGTCTCAAGTGTTGAGTTTACCCAGAGTTGTTCATTCTAAAATAAAGATTAAATGTTCATGCAGCGAAGACTTCTTGATTATTTTAAGTGCTAAAATACTTGAGGTCACCTCAAAATGTAGCCAAAACTTGGTACTACAACTTAACCGAGCGAGATATTTTGAAACATTTTTTTATAGTTTTCTCAATGCTTTTAAATCATGAAAATTTCTATATGATGTAGAAACCCATACAGACTCTGAAAGTAAACACTTTTGGCTGTATAACCCTGTATACATCTCAATACGATGTTTTTGACGAAAATTGACTTCTTTGACCGAGAGTGTATTTCTTGAGAGAGAGTTTTCGTTGTAGCGGAAGTTCGAAGAAGAAACATTTCCGACAATATCTGACTCACGGTTACTGTTTCCTCATATGACAAATTTCAAATAAATATTATGGAAAACCTGTTCGAGCCCACGACATACGTATTTCTTTTTAACATTTTAGGACGTCTCCGCTTTAGTACAAGCAATGGAAAAACTTATGTCTCAGTTCAGTGATTTATCAATGAATATTCGGAAATTGACATCGCAAGTCGAACAACTTAATGCTTAACGTTTACTGCTCTTTTTCGCTTAAAAGATGCTCTAATGCACGACATATGAGAAGAAATATAATTATTGTATTGATAAAGTCAATTAATCGTCAGGTTTACGCCGCACCATTAGAAAATTTGGTGCTTGCTCCGCGCTGAACTAAATTGGATAAAAATTGGGCACCAGGTGCAAAATTTGTCGGTGAATCCGACAGCGGGTTCCTTATAATTAGATCTTTACTTCTTTTTTGGCGTCAACATAATCAACGTGGTTTTTGCCTAAATTCTATTTTGCTCATTGGTTGAAACAAAGGCGCCAATGAGCTAAATAAAATTTAGGCAAAAACCACGTTGATTATGTTGACGCCAAAAAAGAAGTGAAGATCTAATTATAAGGAACCCGCTGTCGGATTCACCAACAAATTTTGCACCTGGTGCCCAATTTTTATCCAATTTGGTTCAGCGCGGAGCAGGCACCAAATTTTCTAATGCATTATCTGGTGTTCTTTTTTGTTCATTTAATGTAACTTTAAAAAGATATTTTTAAGACAATATTGTGCATGTCAGAGCTATATGAAATAAACCGGTATTTAATACTCATCTGGAATTAAAAAAAGCCTGATTATTTTGTGAATGGGAATAACATTTCTCCTTCATATAAGATGTGAATAGGCTCCGACGATCGAGCCCTTTTAGACATATTGGACAAGAAGAAGGAAAAAAATACAATAACAAAACCAAAAACATAACTCAAAAGGATTATATTATATGAAAGGTCCATAGAGAAAGGTAAAGAGTGAGATTGAGGGAGTAGTTCAACTAAAAACAACTTGTTTCCAAGTCTTACCGTACCAAAAATAACTCTCAAATTTTTCTCAAGATTTTTTAATATACTTCAAGCTGTACTTTATTTTAAACCAGACACCTAACTACATGGGTTGATCGGCACCGATTGTTTAATTAAGCCTTTGTTCGTTTTCCAGAGATCCAACAATCTCAAAATCCCCTAAACCCCTTTCGAGTTTTCTAGAGATCCTTGATTTTCTAAACAACCAAGACCTAATTGAATAATTAGCTTTAGGTAGAATACTGTAAAAGGTCACGTTGGCGTTCCTTGAATGCTAGAGCACTAGTGAACGTGAGCTTTTTTTATACGAACGGTGTTCATATCGTCTGTAGTAAATATAAACTTCTGTTCTTACGAACATATATATTTCTGCTTGGTCTTATCTGATCAATAGAAACTCTAGTGGTCTGCAGATGGTCTGCTTACGGCAGTGACCAGATTATTGCAATGTAAGACGGATACCTCTTGATTCTCTGATCAAGACATTGATTCTTCCAAGAGTAGATCGCCGACTTCCTGACTGGGAGACTAGTTTTTCCTGTAGTGGAACCGAAGTTCCTCCGTCCAAACAATTTCCGTAACTTTTTCCTTCGTTATCGTAACCCATTTGGAATCGGATGAGCGTTGATTTTTCACTAAATGCAATTGGCAGTGGAGAAAGCTGTTTCACTTGCTATACTGCTAGCTGAAATTGCTATATAATGTTTTGCAATAGTATTCACTCCACACAAGATCAAGACCGGTCATATAAAATAAAATTCCCATTCAGAGAACGTCACGTTTAGCGTTCCCGTTCAAGAAACGCCAACGTGCTTTAGTGTTCACGTTCAAAGTAAACGCTAAAAATTAACACTGAACGTTTGCTGCCTTATTCAGAGTCGAGCAGAGTAAATGCTATGAGAATGTGAAATAAATAACTTCACATGTTTTGTTTACTTATCCATGATATTCGCAGCGATTATAGGTCTACTTTTGATGAATATACGCTTTGAGAATGTATTATTAAGTCTCAGTGAGGGAGGTTTTGGACTAGGTTTTGTATGTTTTTTTGTATGTGTACATTTGTATGTTAAAAAGAACACTTAACCAATCAAGAGTTTCATGGTTTACTACTGTGAAACAGTAGATTTTTTTTCATATATTTACTCTACTCTACTGTTGCCCAGCGACACCTCAACAGTGCAGTCGACTGCAAAATGACTAAAAGCTTGCGGTCCAAAGTTTTAGAGAAGTTCTGTCTTTTGATAATAAACGTTTTTCCAGCTTTAATTTGACAAAAAGAATTAGCCACACAAGTTTTTATCTATGACTCATCGACGACTCAAAAATCAAGAAGGAAAGCACTTTTTTGCGTTGGCGGGTGGTTCAGAAGGAAAGTACAAAAATTCTTGCATATTTTCTCTTAATAAATATTCTCCACACATTTCTCTATCGATCTAGGCAAGAATCAAGCTTTTATGATGAATGGAGAATGGAGAGGAGTTCTTTTAATAATAATACCTTGTTCAAAAATTTAACAGTATTTTTTTAAGTAATTAATTTTTTTCTCAGCCAAATAACGTCAGTAAACGGAAAAAACGTCAGGACATATACTTCGAAGTGTCCTCTACAAACTGGGAGCGTTAGAGAAAAATTTAAATGGGGGACCTCCCCCTTAAGTGATCGGACAAAGATCGGTAGTCGTTTTAGACTTTTGCACTAAAAGATTTAGATTTGCTTAATTATTCTACTTACCACTAATATACAGTTCTCCCACTTCTTCAGTAGCACTCGATTGTTTTTATTCGTTTAAAATGTAGCATTAAACACCAGGCATTGGATAATCAAGTGGCATAACTTTTGTTGTACTGGTTAATTTTCTTGGACTTCTAATTTCAGATCCAATTACAATATTATATTCAGTTAAACCATAAAGGTTATTGACTTTTGCATTGTCATTTAAATTTAATGCTGATTGAACAATATATTGTTTTTCAATGATTCACTTTTAAAATGGCAAGGAACAAAGTATGACAGATATGATCTGATATTTTAAAATCTGATAGTGAATCACATAGATAAAAAGATTTCAGATCCTATGCAGTTGGGCAAGCTAGCTTCTATCCTAATGAACTTTTCCAAAGTACCATTTTACGCATTAACAAAATAAAGCGTATGAAATAGATTAAAAACAGAAACGCAAACAGCTAAGCGCCAACTGTGCAACGCAAGAGTGTTAAATGTGCTGACGTCATCTTGTATACCTATCAAGGTTTTCCGGATAAGAGATATAACCATATTTTACATGCCGTTAGAATCGCCATTCGATAGAGACCAAAAGTACGTTGTGCTCTATTTGCCCGAAATTTCTTCGCGTTTCGAAAATAATTGAGTTTTATTGAAATTTAGTCACTTTTCCCCAAAATTGGACAAGTCATTTTTAAATAAAACCGTCAATTTTAATTCAGACTTTATAAAAATTTGGTTCTCAACGCAAAAAAAGATGTAGAAGTCGACAGAATCACTTTCAGAATTAGGAAAGGTTTAAAAACAGTTTTCTCAAAATCATTTTAGATCGATAGAACATTTAAGTCTGCAGAAAACGAAGACGACGAGAACCTTGCTGACGTTTCCACATTCACACATCCACTCAAAACGTGAAAAGTCCATCGGCATCCTGATCCAAATCGAATATTTCGGCGATAAATAATCATAGAACCATCAGCAGGGTCTTATTCTGTTGAAAATTTGTCAATTTCAATAAAAGTCAATAATCTTCGAAGCGAAAAGGAATTTCGAAAAGGGCACAACATACTTTTGTTCTCCTTAAATTGCGGTTCTAATGGCATGTGAAATATGGTTATATCTTCCAGCCAAAAAAGCTACATAGGTATACAAGGTGACCCATCAGCACAATGGCGCTAAAAGTTGAAATTTTGACTTGAAACTTGGAAAAATAGTTTTCTGCATTCACTTTTGAACGCTGATTATGAAAAACACAATTTCTAGGTTTCAAACTGAATTGGCACTGGATTATTCCACTTTGTTCAAAAATTAGCCGACTTTCCGGTTTTGAGATTCTTAAAGTTTTTCGAATTTTTTTCACCTAAAATTTGGTCTAGTAAGTTAAAAAGCTAGTATTCTTGATTAGCGTGAAAGTTCTATCGATTCTTGTATAAAAAGCCAAAAATAAAGTAGTGCAGAGAGTTTGAATTTCGTGCGTCTGGTCAACAATCAAACAGGTTTTCAAGCTATCTTAAAAATGCTTCTCTGCTGAAACCCTACATTCAATCACTACTCTCAATGCTTCAGTAACTCTGACTTTTCTGTAAAGAGGAAAGACTTTGTAGCTAGTGTCCACATACAAAGCAAGTTTACTTACCTAGTAAACTGAAATTTCTTATTATTTTGAGGCAGTCAAAGTTTTCATCATTTGCTACGTAATTGAATATATTCACAT